ASWGWTAYATRYAYWKRTGAAACTCCGACGAAACAGTTTGTCACAGCCCCTCGTTTGTTGTCCTCTTCTCCCTCTCTGCCTACGGTTTACCGGGCAGTTCTATTTGACGATATATATATATACATATATAAGCGGGGCCTAGTTCGGGTCACCAGTAGTATTTCCCACCCAGTTGTGGTCCATAATTGGGTTGTCTTACCAACTGGCTGGCCCAGCCAGGGCTGACTCTTTCAAAATTGCCCCTGAACCAAGCCCGTTGAATGCAGCTGGGTCCAGCGGTTTGCAGCCACGACCGCCTGATTGCAGGCTCTGGCGTGTTGTGCTGACGTCCATGGAGACGATGGCAGTGGTGGAGGCGGTGCTGGCCGTCGTGGTCCGCTGTGACGTAGAGAGAGTGTTCGGGCGCATGAAGGCAAAGCTGTCGAGGCGAAAGCAAAGGCTTCTCATACAAAGAGTGCTTGCGGCCCCTTACTGCACAGCGACTTCGGAGGCCATCGCCTGACTGGTGCTGCACTGGGTTTCCGTGTGCTCCCTGGCACTACACCAAGATGGTGGATGAAACAGAGAACGGGAGGGATGTGGGAAGATCTGCAAGTGTGCAATGATGTCAAGGACGACTTCCGAGCTGCCTCGTCTGTTTCCTCCCAGGCAGTCGCCCAAAAAAACAGCAGTTGAACACGACAACCACGACAAGCGGCACGACGGTGAGCAGCAGCAGCGGCAGCCTACTATGGAGGTCAGCCAACTAGGGGACAAGGATACTCTGAAGCCACGTCTCTTATCGCATGTGCAGACAATGGCATTGCACGTCAGTCTAAAACACTCCAAGGACATCATTGTCGACGAGCGGCTGCCAACATGCCTAAAAAATTCATATTAGTCGTCTGCAATCAACGATGCTCCCCGCCGCCACCTGCCGCCAACGGTAAACATCGGAGGCCGTTGGAGGACATCCACGATGTTGAAGGCCAACGACGCCCCTCGCTTGCCCTCTGGACCACAATTGGACCACCTTCGGCCTTCAAATTTCCTTTTACGCTCCCTGCCGACACCCCGAGAATCAAGGATTATTGGGCTCCAAGTGACCATGAGGTCCCTTGGAGCCAAGGATGATTTGGCTGGGAAATCCTCAAAGCTCGAGGATTTGTCCTCGGGGTGTTTTCACATTTTCATTTGGAATTTCATAATGACGACGAAATCCTGGGGGTTGCGCCTCGGAGGAGTGTCTAACGACGCCCTAAGATGTAGTAATAATGATTGTGCCTTCAATTTGGGTGAAGACAATAACTATTTGTTGCTCTCTCGCGAGCAGTTCCTGAGATTCCGCAAAACCTTGTGGAAAACAAGAACAATAAAAAGGTAGCAGTAAAGACAAGTCCTCCAAGTAGTGAGAGTTAACCTTAGCAAAAATCTAATTCTGGAACTCTATCAAGGTGTTTCTCGAGGCATCAGTAGAGTAAACGTCATGGAGACTATAAGAATTTCAACCACCAATACCTTTCCCCGCTTGAAAATCAAATATGCGTCGGTATATTTGGGAGCAAGCAGGCATCGGCACTACCTGACCGAAGTGGTTGGTGGCGCCAGCCAAAATAAGGCTTACTCCGGTTCGTTTTTTTTTTTGGCGCGCA